GCTTCCATACATTACAGCTGAAATTGTAACAGTTATTTTCCTGTTTATTAATGTGAAGCTGTTTTGAAACTATCTGTATTGTATGAAGCCCTATATAAATAAAATCATGTGAAAAACCTATTTCTACAAACTCAAACAAATGAATATTTATTTGGCACAAGACGAGACCCTAAAGAAAGTTGCCAGCGTAAACCGATGGATCTGTTTATCTTTCTGGAGCAGAAGATTCATTAAAGATCAGAAGACTTCCTACAGTTAAAGCTCACAAATGTGTGAAACTTTTATTTCCACTAGTGCTCAAAAAGTCCAAAACATAAAGTTGTAAAAGACTAAATATGAAGGATTCATGCCACTGGTTGATGAACCACAATAATGAGCCACAAAGACAATTTGACATATCAGAGGTCATTGTGCAATACAAATGTACTGTAAGTTTAAGAACTCAAAACTACCTTGTTAGTAAACACAGTTTTAATCGAGACCAGGCTGCCAAAAAACACTTATTTTCTACTTCCAGGTTTATAGAGATGAAACATCAGCACATAGATCAACACCTACTTCTTCACCATCACCATTTGTGGCCAGGCCATTGGCACTTCATTGATGTGATCAAGTGATATGGACTGATAAAACAGAATCACTGGACTAAAAATAACATTACCTTCCAAAGGCTGTTTATTTTCAACCATGTGAATGTCTCAGTAGAGCATTATTTGTTTGTTTGGTTCATTTCATCATGGATTCTTTGGTGAACCAGTCACAATCCGACACAGGCTTTGCAAACACTGACAGTAATGCCAGAAACTGTCTTAAATCTAACGCCTAATCTGCGATCAGTGATTATTGACATGTAAGGACTCATGTATAGTCAGATGTTCTTTGTCACAACATCTGTTATTGCTGTTTATGCGTCAGTAAATCGAGCCAGTGACTAAACAGTCAACTTCACACTGTTGCTCTTAAAGTCCCCCTGTGGTGAAAACCACACTCTAAACGATGCTGGGTTGTTTTAACCCAAATTTGGGTCAAATATGGACAAACCCAAATGTTGGGTTAAAAATGTAATTTAAAATTTTAACCCAACTTCAACTTTCACTTTCAACTGTTCATTTTTAACCCAACATTTGCATTTGTCCATATTTGACCCAAATTTGGGTTGAAACAACCCAGCATTTTTTAGAGTGCAGCTTTTAATGTTGTTTATTATATGTCTATGTGTGTTTTTAATATGCTTTATGACAAACCATGTGTAAATTCATAAGTCGACAGCATTTTTCTCCTAAAAAACTACAGTGTACCAAAGACAGTCTCAAAGACACGGTTTGAAATCGCTGGTGTTTCTGACGTCACAAACTACCTTGTAACCAATCAGATCAACGTGTGATCGTCAACCAGTGGATCTCTGAGCTGAGTGAGTGAGTGGAGGCGGGGCTCATTTGCATATTCATAGAACCGCGTATACTAAATGAGGCAAGGGTGTCGAGTTACATTCAAGATATTTTAAAGCATGAAGAATTAAAATTTAAATGGTAGTAAAAGTTTTCAAAACAGTTCCACATATTTTAAATGCAAAGATGGGTGTTTACTTTAAAGGCGTAAAGTGCCCCTATTACGCTATCTTTAAGGCTCCTAATTTTGTTTCTGAGGTCTCCTACAATATGTTTGTATGCATCATTTTCTCATCATAATTTACATAGCAGTATCACCTCTTTACTACCAAACATAGGTTCATGCAGGAAGTAAGACTGGAATTACTGACGACTCGTTTATAATCAAGTCTTTCTTTTAGGAGACAATAACTCCATTTATCTGAACTATAATCTTTAAAATTTTGCAGACCTTTTACATTCACAAACAGCTAAATTAAACAGTACATGAAAGATAATATCCGAAAAAGCATAATAGGGGCACTTTAAACGAAACACGCGCCTTAAAACAGTGTTCGAATCAGAGGGCTAAAATCACAAGAGAGAAAAAAATGGTCATTTATTTCCAAATTATGACCGTTTTTGGTGTAAAAATCCAGTAACACTTTATTTTGATGGTCCCTTTTGAACGTGCTGTTGACTATAAGTAACTCTGCAACTACATGTCAACTAACTCTCATTAGAGTATTAGTAGAGTGTCTAATTCATATCCGCTAACTCTTTATTGTGATGCTCCTCAATAGACATTATACTGACTATAAGTAACTTTGCAACTACATGTCAACTTATTCTAACCCAAACCCTACCAGTCTACTCATACTCTACTCACACTAATAAGGGGTTAGTTGTGATGTAGTTGCAACGTTACTCATAGTCAACAGAATGTGTTAAAGGGAACATCAAAATAAAAAGTGAAACCAAAATCCTACAAACATTACAAGTGATTTGGAAATTTTATTATTTTCCATTTCAAGTGGACAGGAGCTGTATCTGCATTACAACAGTTGTCCGGATGTGCTGCCAAGATGGCCACCAATTGAAATGACTTTGTATCAAGATCAGACAGAAGCCATCCTTCAATCTCACCAGAAATGAGAAAAGAAGGGAGAAAGTGGGGGTTGAGGGGAGGTAACAGTCAGCAAGATCACATTACAATGAGCCAGCAACACCACAATGACTGAGAGAATGCAGGAACTGACCAGTGCAAACAAGCCAATGTAAAGATCAAATGAACATAGACATTTAGAACATAGAATACAAAACAGAATTAAACATTTCAGGGAATCAACCTACAAAATGTTTTACTTAGAACTGTCTCTGCATTTAAGCTATGATAAGAGTATGAATATATAAAAAAGCTTTCACACAGCTTACACGGTATGTAACTTCAGTCATCACTTTATCTTAATCCTGCCTGTTATTCACAAAATGTTGGTTGTGCTTCCCAGTATTTCCGGTTGTTCAGAATCTTTTATAATAAGAGACAGTATCGGCTCCTGACCATAAATGCAGGTAGGGCAGATTCTGGGTCTTAGCGCTAGATTATGATAAACATTTTGCAAGCTTTATATTCTAATTGCTGAACACATGCGTTGTTCAGCCTGAGGGTGGCGCTCTAATGTAGATTGCAGGCACGCACATAATGTCATCTAGTATTGCCTTAATGTAGTATTAATGTTGTTTTATAATGTTACAAGTTGTTGAGGAATTCACCCTTCGCAGGGTGTTTGATTGACAGGCGATCTGACCAATCATAATCCGCCATTTTTGTCCGACAAAGCAGTTAGTAGTTAGAGTTAGTAGATTAACATTGGTGGATTAACATAGTCTTTCAACAGTTGAAACAACATTCCTTCTGATGTTCATTCATGTTTATTTGATGCTATAAATTAACTAGAAGGAAGAGATGATCGGTTCACGAGCAGCTTTAACTGAGGCTCTACAGCGATCTGTCAGACACATTAAAGAGCCTCAAGACGGTATTTATTGTTTAAACTTATTAAGAAAATGACAAAATTTGAAAGTTGAGACTTTGTTTCATATCAAAAGTAACCTGGTCTGTCAGCGCGATGTCAGTGTCCTTTTGCTCCGCGATGTATTTTTCACTGCGTGAGAACATGATGTGTGGCGTGAGAGAGGCGTGGCTTGTCGGACATAGCAACAGTAACTAAAGGGGGCGGGTCTTTGCAAACGGCCAATTCCGGTGAGGAAAAGAAACTCATTTCTATTCTCAGAACAAACATAAAACAAACACAACAGAACCACATATAAAGGCTATTTCCATTAGCACGTTTAAACTTTAATTAATTTGATTTACAGAACAGACATGGCAGCTAGATACTGACTTGATGTAGACTACAGTGGTTCCCAACCTTTTTTTGTCTGAGACCCCCTTTTTCCCATGAAAATATTTTAGGGCCCCCCTTCACATTTAATGATATTATCGCTCTTGTAAGCTTGCAGCAAGGAGGACAAAATATATATTTTTTTTCAAACAGGTATGTTTATGCACAAATAATAGCCTATAATATTGAAAATACAATAACAAAAACATCAGTAGGCCCTTTGTAATTTAAAAACGTAAGCCTAGGAGAAGCCTATATATCGGCCCTATTTGAAATGCAAAAACAAAAATATTCACATTGGTGTACAGGTAAAAAAAAGAAAGAATATAGGCTATTACTAAATGACTGTTGTCTGGGGCCTCAATACTTGCATGTTATTTGTGAGGTTTATCAATGTGAGGCTTTATTTTTTACGCTTTTGGCGCTATAGCGA